ATAAAACTAGGAGTAATAGTTTCTTTATAATGGGCTTCTGATTTATCAATCACAACTGTATCCTTCCAAATATAAAATTCATCATATAGTTTGTTAATTGTTTGTCTTCGTATGTCTGTAGACCACAAACTCATTAACCTTAATTGTGAATCTAATAATGTGGCCATGAGTTTAATGACATCCGAATCTTGCCAGTAATATCATAGAGAGTTATAAATAACTGCACAAAGCTTCAAAATTATAATGCTAGATGAGAATTGATTTTCTTTATCATTATTAAGTTTCTTGTCACTAAAATCATCATCTAATAATATCTTATCTATATTTTTTAAACATTAAATAGTTAGTTTAACTAATATTTTATAAAAATTATAAAATGAATTAACTATTATCTATCATTATCAAGGCTTTCCATGAAGAATTTGTCAAACATGCCATTGGCAAATTCAAACTTTAATGTCTCTATACTTGGATTAACAACTGAAAGAGTGGTATATTGGACTCCACTAAAGTATGTTGTCAATTCGTCGAATGGCTTAAATACTTTTACTAATTGTTTTAATAACTGCTATTCATAATCTTTAAGCATATAACAGTTCAATTTGGCAGAATCTTCTTTAGCACCATCTTTATTTTGTAGAGATAAAGTTTTAGAAAGCTATTCAATTGCCAGATGCAAAGTTAAAAGCCTCTGCTAAGATTGGTAAAATGAATTTTAACAAGTTTAATGTTCTCAATAGTACGCAAAATGGATAGTATTTTATATGTTTCTGGCTCATCATCATCATCAGTTTCAGATATGCCTTCAAGTATATTTTTAGAGTAAATTTGAATAAGCTCTATATGAGTTACGTTACGATTTGCCAGGTCAATTTGTGCCTGATCAAAGTGTTAGCTTTGTTTTGAGAATTAGAAAAATTTAATAAGTTTCTTGATATGTTTAGTATACAGGTTTATAAATTTTAAAGCTTGAAGAACTGTAAGTTGAAGTATGTGCGCAGACAAGATAGACGTTCTACACTATTCCAAATTTTAATTGCTTTTTTTATGTTTGCACTATTATCAGTTACTGCACAAACAATTTTACCAGTTAATTCAAACTCTTTAATTTTAAAATTTAGAAATTTTTTAAGTTTTTCACCCGTGTATAGATGATTATTTTTTTTAATAGCTAGCAGAACGTCATGAACTTCGAAGTTAGATATTAATCAGTAAAGAGTTAGCTAATATATCTATCATTAGTATGTGATATCTACAAGTCTGTAGTTATAGAAGCCATTTTACAAGTAGTTGCAAGTAATTTTTTAAGTTCTATAACACCTTTTTGATAAGCTATATCTATATCTTTTCTAATACATTTGTAATTTGGTGGTTTTAAAGCAGGATCAAATCGCTGCATCATTTTTTGATACTCTTTTCTACGTATAATGTTAAATAGGAGAGAATTAGTAACTAACTATTTAGCTGTAATATACTGTAATTCTGATTGTTTGGGCTCATTATATGGTACCACTTTTTTAATCATTTGGTTTATATTTAATTGATGCTTTCTACCTGAGCTCGATTGTAGTTCATTAGGTCCAAAAAACCCATATACTAATCTTAGATGAGATTTCATATTTCCAGTTCTTTTATCCTGTTTATAACTTTTATCACAGATAATTTTCTTACTTTTTTAAATTACGATTATTTTGCAAATGTCAAGATCTTTTTCTTTTTCAAAATAATTTCAAACATAACTCAACTTTCTATTGGATTTATTTGGATTAGAAAAGCTTACATGAATTTTTTTTACATCTAGTTCTTCTGCAGGCATCTTTACAGCTTTTCGTCTAGATATGCTAGAAGATTCAATCTCTTCTTGGATATCATTATCAGATATATATTCAATGTCAGAGACATATTGCTATTACTATCTATGTTTATTTTTTAAAAATAGTTACAAGAATTGGCAATAATTTAGAATTTAAACAGGAGTTTGTATAATTTATAACAAAATAAAAGTTAATTTAGAGATGAAATTGGTCTTTATTAAAGGTCAAAACGAGGTTTTTATATACATTTTTTAGTCATACATATATAGATGAAAAGCATATAATCTTATCTAAAATAATATTTTTTTTACTTTTTGTTTTTCAGAAACCTTTTTTTCTAATACGAATTGATCGTATGATGTTTAATTATTACAAAAATTATTATATCTCAACAATGTCTGCATAAATCATATGATTCTTTTTGAATAAGACTTTGATATTTCTAAGGTAAATTTTTATTAATATTCATTTAAAAAATTACTAGCTACAATATGTCTTTTTTTTTATATTGATCTATTTAATTTATTATATATTCCTTATTTGTTAATAAGATTTTAATATTGCTAAGACTATTTTTCTTTTTTGTTGAATAATTATTGATATACAATTACTAATTGCAATATCTTTTTTTTTTCTTTTTTTATGAATTTACTATGTATGCTTTATGCAATGCCAGCATTCTAATATGGGATAAAGACTGTTATTCCTTAAATAAAACTTTAATATTTTTAAGGTAGATTTCCATTAATATTCATTGTTTAAAAAATTACTGGCTGCAATATAACTTTTTTCTTATATTGATTTATTTAATTTATTACATATTCCTTAGTTGTTAAAAGATTTTGATATCACTAAGACTATTTTTCCTTTTTTGTTGAATAATTATTAATATGCAATTACTAATCGCAATATATATATATTTTTTTTTTATAAATATGCTTTATGCAATGTCAGCATATTAATACAGGATAAGGATTGTTATGCAATATATAGCAAGCTAATACATTATGTATAATTCAGATATATTGGCTGACAATGAGGATGACTTAGAATGAATTTATAAAAGCAGATAAATGAACTTGTTTTAGTTTGTATTTGATTTATTATTTTATTACCCTATAAAAAAGTTAATTTGTGTTTTCTTTTTCATACTTTATTTATAAATGATGCATATTATAAAATTTATATCCTTAAATAACTGAAAGTATTCAGCTTATCAAATTATGTTGCAGATTCATGAAAGTTTTACAGAAAATAAGATCAAATGGAAATCTAAATAAAGTTTTATAGGGATCACAAATCACAGTATACAAGACCCAGGTCTCTTACTTCTGCCAATTTTAAAACCTATTACAGATAACAGGAAGAAATGTATTCGATCTAAACTGTGAGAGATTAATATTTGTATATTGGTAGTTAACTAACCATTATTATGAAATAATTTTTTTATTTACTGCATATCAGATGTGGAATTAAGTTTGGATCAGATATGTTTTCTCCTTTTATTACAAATTCTGAATTTAATACATAGCTGTGAGTTTATCTTATTAAAAAAAACTTTAAAGAGTACAACTTACATTTTATAATAGGCTGTTTTTTGCATCTGTATATATTGTTATATAGTGAGTTTACAATTGCAAGAGATCTTGTATACTGTGATTTATAGCATTTTCTAGTTAGATTTTTTATATACAGAATATAAAAAAAAAAAAAAATTCTTTTTGCCCAAGATTAAAACACAAATTATTTAAGGAAAATAAAATAAAATTCAAGAATTCAAGGTCTATAATTAATGCAAAATACTAAATTTATTGATTAAAAAAATAGTTTATTATGTAAAAATTAAACATATTTCTTTGCCAACAATTTTATATTTATAAAAATGGCTGGGGGTTTGTTATAGCAGAAGGCGAAAACCCTCTTATTACTTGGTTAGAAGAGCAAAATGCATATATACGCAATTTAGCTCCCATTATACTGTTATAAGGCAAAAAAAAAAAAAATACAATTTAAGATAGATAATAAATATTAAATATTATTTAAAAGATTTATTAACTTTAATTTGGTAAAGAATCGACCAAACTAATATTTACTGATTTGAAAAATAATACTTTTAAATATAGGTCATAAATATTAGAACAAAATTTATCTATGCACAACATATATTTATTGACAATAACTGGTCTCTATATATATAATCATAATAAACAAACAAATAATATAAAAAAAAAGCATGATTGTCCAAATTCAAAATTTATATTACAGAAGCTATCCACGCGTCGATCTGTGGATAGCCACTCAGGTTGTTACAACTCAACTTGGGTGACCCATCTACCTGCAGATGATCCAGATGAGACCCATTCAGGGCAAAACACTAGTTGCAAGATACTGCACCAAACCTAGTGGAACTGCAAAAGAAATTCCAAACTTGGCCTTTACTCAAGAATAGATATTTTATATATCTCAATATAGGCATATAAATAATTAGCATAGAGTTTAGATTAGATTATTTAGTAGTACTATATAATTTTTACAATCTGATATGATTAATAGTATTATTTTTGTTGTTTTTTCTTTTATTTTGTTTTGTTTTTCTTTTATATGTTTTCTGGTTTTATTTAATTAGATAGATTGAAATTGAATATCGAGGTATCACACCTTTTTTCTTCACCCTTTGATTTTGTATTTGTACTTCGTTTTGTAAAAGAAAAAATGATACTGATATGGTATGTAACACCAGCCAATAATCGAAGAATTTATGCTTCTAAGAAGTTAGAGACCCAGAGAGAGGCAAATAGCCACTAGGTAATGTTACATCTGGGCTTTTAAGCTGAGTAAGTTACTTGTTGCAGTTAAAGAAGAATTAACTATAGTTAAAAATTCTTGTAATTTTGCTTAGTTACTGTCTTAATAAAATAGTAATAGGACATGTTAAAAAAAAATAAAACAAAAATACTATAAAAAATACAATATAATATCAGTTTATTATTAAAAAAATGACACTACTATTATGCATCATAGGTGCTATACACCATAGATGCTACGTATACACTATAGGTGCTACACACCATAGGTGCTAACACTATAGATGCTATACACCATATATCGATATATTACATATTATAAATATTTAGATATTCATATATATATTTGTGTATATGATATAGCATCGTAATATATATGGCTTCATAATACTAAATAAAAAAAACATAAATAAACTAACTCTAATCTGATTTTTATTTTTATATTTTCTCTTTTGAGATCATATTACTCGCAATAAGTATTTCACACAATAGATATCATCATACAAGACACTTCGATTATTAGATACGACACATAAAAAATTGATTAATTGAAAATGTAACTTTTTGGTTCCGGATTATAGATGTTAATGGTTTAACCCGACTTGTATATTTATTATTATAAAAATTGATTAAGTAATAAACTTGATTGAGTCATTAGTATCCCTATTCCAGATCAGCTTGGCATAAATCAAAACAATAACAATGTTATTTATCACCTCTAATTTTGACTTACTTTTTAAATCGATAAAAATAACAGAAAATAAAAAACTCGCTTGATCCTAATCTGCCTTATTTTACCAAATAACTTTTTAAATTAATTTAAAGATTCATCACTTACCCTTTCGTAAAAACTTGAACTTTTTGAAACAATATAATCAATAGAAATAAATTATCAAAACCTAACTAACTTTTTACAAGCAAATAACATATAATGACATATATAGATGCATAAAATCTAAATACAGCATTTAAAAATATATAAATAAAAGGGTGTGACAACTTAGTAAAGTTGGCAAGTTGTCACACTCCCAAGTGGCAGGACTAGAGTTCGAATCTCACCAGCGATAAAAATTCGAATTATAGAAAATACATTTGGAAATTGTATTCTATTGGGTTATAGAACCTGTAATAATGATCATACCAGCTTGTACTGGGAGGTAGTAGAATATGTAGTGTGATGTATGAGTTATACAAAACCTGAGTAAAGCTACCAAATAAATCTAGTGAATTTACAGGGTATGAAAGCCTGCTTGGCAAGACCTAAATAGAGAAGTAGCACAGATCTTCAACAATTACTATATAAAGGATGATCAACCGGATACTGGAAAACTAGACAGGACCAAGGTGTTTGGCAAGGCACTATACTAACCAGATTGTCAGATAACCGGAGGAAGAGTTCTGCTCTTCTGGGCCATCAGATTGGAAGTTTAGATTTCTGGAGATATGGGAGGAAGTCTGTAAAGTAGGTATCGGGATTTAGGCGAACTCTACAAAGGCAGTAGTAGGTAATTGTAGCAGCCTCAGCTCGCAAATACTTGTCCTCAGACTTAGTGTAAGTTACCAAAAAGGCCTAGTCTAGAAATGTGTAGGATATAGAAAGATTAGGGATGTATACTACACCCTCCCTAGGGTAACCTAATAAGTATAAGAACTCTATTGGGTTATCTATAGAATTAGTGCGCAAGTAGTATAGCATATATCAATCTGGGTGGTCTTCAATAAAGCAGTATGAGGTTATGAGTTGACGTAATTGAGGTGGTGATACAGGACAGATGACATCAAAGAGTTTAATTAGATAGTTCAAGTAATAGTAGATTATAGATATAACATCTAGTATAGACTCTAGTAATAAGTAGCTACTTAATTAGATACTCAAAAGATGCAGGTATAGCTAGCATGTACTCTTATTAACCAAAAATATACTACTAATATACCTAATAAAAATTTGCTTTTCTATAACATTGTGAAGGTAAAAAAAAAAAAAAAACATGACTTATATTTATATATGTATATACGACTAAATTTTAGCATTGCATGTGCGAGAGTTATGACTAGTTTGGCCATATACACTACAACAACAGGACTTATTTCCATGATTAAAATTCTTGTCTACTAATATATAATAAACAAAATTTAAAATTAGAATTATCAAAACTTTTAATATAAACATTAAACATACATATTCTTGTTAAATCCTCATCATTATATCTTGTGGCTGATAATGGCAAATTATCATTTTCACAATTGTTGTCACTATCTTGAATAATTTCATTCATCTGTTTGTTAGAACTTTCCTAACCACATGTCCAAGCATTATGACCTGCTTGACCACAAGCACCACAACGTCGAAAAGGCTCTCATAAATTGTATTTTGATTTATCACTATTATAAACTTAACAATTAGTATTGTTAACTATTAATTGACTTAAATGACATAATCCTAAACTTATCTATATTTGTAGCATTTGAACTTTCTGTTCTATAATCACCTTGACTTGTACTATGCACATTGCATGTTTAAAAATTATAACCCGATTTACCACACACACTACAACTACAAAATACATTTTCACAACTAATAACATTTCTATTGGCTTCCAAGTTAGTAATTTTATCTCTTTGAACATTCAAAGTTTCATTGTAATTAATTTTGCTTGTATTATTTATGTTCTTTTTGTTATTATTTTTTGCATTTTTTGGTTTCTGACCTTTTGAATTAATGCTAATTGGATTGTTAATTGTAGTTGCAAATTTGACAGGATCATTATTTAAAACATTATATCTATTGTTTGTTATAAGTTCCATCTCTATTTCTCTTGAAAGATTAATATGCATTTCATATAGTTCATTATATCTTCTTGTTGTAATCACTAAATTGAGAGTCTTTTTTATAATGTCAAACCCCTCACCCCAACATTTTTTGTGCGATATTTTATTATGAACCTTATTGGTAAAAACATGGCTATCACGAATGTTATCAAGATAAGCAAAGTTAACATGTAAATTGTGCTTAAACAATCCAAACTGCTCATTGGCTATTGTTGAAAGTGCAGGCTCACTTGCAATATACATATCAGTTTTACAGGCAACTTTATTTAAATACCATCGGTATGATACAAGCCCAACATGAAATTTGGTGACTTTTGATGATAACATTATAGCAAAAAAATGGTGACAGGGAATATTACGATTAATTAATATTAGACAAATATAAAGATGCATTGCTTCATCATATAAAACTACAAAATGTTAACTTTTTATGTCAATTGATAAGACTATCCAGACCTCATGAATACTTGTACGATCTAAGTTAATAATAAGTTGTTCAAGCTTAATGGCAAATGCGTTATACATATCTTCAGTAAACATTTCTGTTAGCATATCGACAGTTAACTACAAAAAGAACTAGTTAATTATAATTAAAAAAATACAATAAAGAAATAAATAAATTTGTTCATTCAAAAATAAGAAAACATGCCTGGTTTATAAATTCATCTTCCAAATTTATTAATTGTGCATGATAGTGAATACTGCAGTTTATTTTACAGTATTAAATTTTAAGAATTGCAGTTGTTAAAACTTTTGATACAATTCATCAACTGCCTTATAATATCTACAATAATAGTCTTCATTGTAAATGTTTGGTAGGACATCTACAACTTCATTAAAATGCTAATATCAATCTTCTTTAACAAGCAACCTTTCAATTGTGTTATTTAGTTCAAATAGAGACGATGTGCCATTAACATGCTTTTTAATAATATTATTATATGATTCAACTCTCTGTATAGTTTGAATGCCTGTATTAAAAAATCTATGTGTATAACAAAGAACCCACGCTTCTCGATAAGGATAGAGTTGTCTTTCCAAATATAATACAGAATCGGGATACTTAAGTAACATATCAGCCCAACATTTCTCAAAAACTGTTTCCACACAGCTATTTCAAATATAACAAAATGTGTTAAAAAACTCCTTCCACTTTTCACCTTTATACTTACACAGAAATCATTTTTTAAGATTTTTATAAATGTAAAAAAGACAAAAATGATGCTTTGTGTTTGGAAAAATTTTACTTATAGCAGAAATCATAGCACAATCAGCATCTGTAAATAACAGTTTCAGTTCCAAACCATTTGATGCTTTAAGCAAATTTTCTAAAACCTATGAGAAAGTTTCTTTTGTTTTGTCTGATATAACAGCAGTTGCCACTAACTGTAAACGATTGTAATTATCAATGACTACAACAACACAGAGCTTCATTGAGTAACAGTTCATTTTAAAAGTTGTATCTACAAGAACAACATCATGAAATCTACTTCATAGCTGTACCTGGCTCAACCGCATCTATATAAGACCAACCAAATGGTTATCAATTTCATCAAACTTTGTATCAATCTAATAACTTAGATCATCTTTCTGTTTTTTAATTAGTTCCAAATATACACTACTAGCATCACTTCCAACTTGTTTTTTTTCACAATGAATCTTTTGGATCATATTATATACATTATGGGTGTGAATATACTTTCCAGAGTTTTTTTGTTGCAAAACCTTCACAATCGTACCAGCCCATACACCACAAGAGGCAAGTAACCGAATATCATCTTGTATTTCTTTTGTTAAACATCGATATCTTAGTTCTATCATCCTAACATTTTCAACCATTTCATGGTTATGCGTACCAACAATGTTTGAAATACAAATCAGATCATCATTTTTCATTGATATACATTCATATGAAAAGAATATCCATCCACTTTATGCCTTTTATTTTTCTCATACAAATATTTATAGGCTGTTTGAATATTATAGTCAAAAGAAAGGTTTTGTGTTTTGTATAACTCATAGTAAAAATGATAAAATTGATAGCATACCTAGACATTGTGTATATTCATATACAAAAAGGCAGAAATATGTGCAATATAAAGAAGTATATATAATT